ATTCCAAAGACAAAATGATACTAGTATTAGCCATCTGTACCATCATTAGTGAAAGTGCTTTGAAAAGCACACACTTTGTTTATGGTTAAAAAAAAACAACAAAAAAAAACAAACAAACACGTTTTATGTAAAGATCAAGATAAAAAATATTTGGACCTTTACAGATATATGGTTCTCTTATAACTACTCAAGTCTGTTATTGCAGTAAAAAAAAAAAAAAAAAGAGCCATAAAAATATGTCAATGAATGGGCAAGGTTGGGTTTTAACAATACTTTATTTACAAAGTGAACGGAGGATCAAATTTAGCCCCAGAACCATAGTTTGCCCTCCTCTGCTTTAGCATGAGCTTTACACTCATGTCTTCCCCTACCTCTATGTGGAAGCAAATTAATAACTCACATATGTCTGTTAACTTCCAAACTTCCTAACACCCCTACCATGTTGACAATTTGAGTTTGATTTAATTATCTTTGAGCAAAATTATGTTTGAGAGCTATCTGATTCAAGTGACTTATTTCAAAGTGAATTTTTTTTTTTATGTCTAAGTGGTTAGACTTTAGGAGATTGATTCTGTCTTGATCTTTAATCTTAGATTATTTATTTATTTGAGTTTTGCCTCAAATATATTCACAAGGCAAAACATTATTGTAGAAGGCTCTGGTCATCCTGGCACATTGCTCCACCTGCATCTTGAAGATATGTGGTAGATATAGGAATGTATTGGGGAACATCATTGCAGAGTGTCTTTTTTGGGTGACAGATGAGCATTTGTTTTTCTTTCTTTTTTACTGAATTTAGTTAGTGACCTTGGCTAATAAAGTGACATCAGATACAGATGTACAATTCCATGGCTCATCATTTATATATTGTATTGTGTGTTCGCCACCCAGAGTAAAATTTCTTTCCATTACTTTCATACCCTCTTGTACCTCCCATCCCTGCCTTTTTCCTCTGGTAATCCCCATACTGTTAACTGTCTCTATAAGATTTTTTCTGCTTTTCTTTCCTGCTTAATCCCCTTATTTTTTCACCTAATCCAAAAAAATATAGGCATTGTTATATAACGTGTCCACAATGAGTACAATGGCACTGGCAGTGTTTTAAAATTTTTAATCTGAACATGGATATTAAATCCAGATTACTCATCATGTAATTACATGAGGTCATGGTTCCTAAAAAGTGTGCCTGGTGTCCCTGGCATGCTGCAATTAACTCACAGGGTGTCAAGGAATATGTTAAATTTTCAAAAAAAAAAAGTGATAATATCAGTCTATTTATCTATTTCTAACTCTATATTCCTGACTTGATCTTTTGAACCCTTTACACCAGTTTTAATTAAGCTCAGTAAAAGTTCTCCTTATTTCTCTAATTATGGGTTTTCTGTTATACATTTATTTTTCTAATTATAGAGTTTCTATTGCTGAGACATTAATTATTCCAAAGCTATATACAATATCTCTTAATATTTTTCTCTTCATTTACATCTCTTCTTTTTTTGTTTTTTATTAAATAAGTCATTGAGCTACTCCTCTAGACCACTTAAATTATTTGTATAATAACTAGTGACCTGGTGCATGGACTCATGCACATTGAAAGGAAATTAATTAGAAGAAATATTTTAATATTTCTATTCACCCTTTCTCTATAATAGAAGTGTCAGGGAAGAAAGAAAATTAGTAAAATGTACATGCAAATAATATATAAATTGATGAATAAATAAACAAAAACAACATGATATAACAACAAAAACATTATATAAAAACCACAAAAACATGATATAAAAACAACAAAAACATTAATTAAAAACAACAGTGAGAAAAACAATGACTGATAAATTGATTAAATTTATTGTAATATCTGCCTGAATATGACATTAAGAGTAAAAACACTTCAGAGTTGTTGACTAATTTCTCTTGTGATGAAGTATTTACAACTTTAACTTTAATGTTATGTGCTCTTCAAACTCAAGAGAAAGCAACATATAACTGACCATGTCTGAACACGGGATTAGGTAGGAATATTCCTATTCTGTCTAAAGTTTGTCCTTGTGATTTAATAATATGCATCACAAATACTGGCATCACAGGAAACTGTCTTTGAATTCATTTTAATGGGAGGTCAGTGTCAGACAGGGACAAACCAATTCTTGGAATCAGAACAACCTCTCCTTCCACAGATCCTATTAATACTTCAGCTTTGAGAAACACACATGTGCAATTGATGCCATCAAGGGTTTTATATGTATCATGTATGCTTGAGTCAACATTTATTTTTAAATTACCAGTGCGCATCATATGTAACGACTGTCATAAATCGAATGGTTGGACAGATGGACAGTTGGTCTCTTAGCCTTTTATATATAGAGAGACTAGAGGCCCAGTGCACAAAATTTGTGCATGGGGTGTGTCCTCAGCCCGGCCTGCACCCTCTCCAATCTGGGAGCCCTTGAGGGACCACTTGCTCCTTACCGCTCGCCTGCCTGCCTGCCTAATTGCCCCTAACCACTTCTGCCTTACAGCCTGATCGTCCCCTAACTCTCCCCTGCTGTCCTGACTGATGCCTAACTGTTCCCCTGATGGCCTTATCACTCCTAACTGCTCTCCCCTGCTGGCCCAATTGTCCCCAACTGTCCTCCCCTGCTGGCCTAGTCACACCCACTGCCCTCTCCTGCCAGCCTGGTCACCCCTAACTTCCCTTCCCTGCAGGCCTGGTCACACCCAACTAACCTCCCCTGTTGGCCTGATCACCCACAACTGCCCTCCTCTGCCAACCATCTTGTGGTGGCCATCTTGTGGCAGCCATCTTGTGACAATGTCATGCAAGGGTGTCATGTGATGCCACCTATCCTTTTATTATATAGGATACTGCCTAGCTCTTATTATATTTATTTCAACAAGCACCTTTGTTTGGGAATTTGAGAACAACCTTTTCCAGAGTCTAATCTTCAGTTCCTTCTAGAGCCAGAACTTCTGTATTAAGGCAGAATTCCTGGTCAAGGTGAGAAATAAATCTTTTGGAAGTAATACTCTGAAATGACATAATCCAATCCACCTATCCTTTTTCAAATAGTCCTCATGAATTGCCATTTAAATTCCATCATTGTCTTGTTTCATACATAGGTAGCATCTCATTGTGAATACCTTCTTATTGAATCTTATCCTTGTCTCTAACTATGATTTTTTAATACCACCTAATAAACTTCATTTTTGTCATTCAAATACATTTTCAAGAATATTAAGAGTCTCGAGTTCTAGTTGGTAGCAAAACATAAACCCTCTAGTTCTTCAGTACCAGTGGCTGCCATGGAAGTCATTTGATTTCTCCTGGCACATCTGAGCCACTTACCCACCTCACACTCTACAGTCATAAGCCACAGTCATGGTGAAGCTCACAAAGGGGTAAAAATCGAGGTGATCCCAAGAAAATGGCTCCTCCTCAAAAGGAGGTAGAAGAAGATAGTTAAGATGAGGAAATATCAGATGAAAAAGATGAAAGCAGTGAGAAGAGGTTATTATTCCTCAGGAAAAAAAAAAGGCAAGAAGGCTACCACAACTCCAGGAAAGAAGGTGATGGTTTCCCCAACAAGAAAAGATTGCAGTTGATGCCAAAACTGGTTTGGCTTGGTGGACTGAGTGTTGGGCACAGGTTTGATTCCAATCAAGGGCATGTACCTTGGTTGCAGGAAAATCCCCAGTGGGGGGTGTGCAGGAAGCAGCTAATCAATGTTTCTCTCTCATCGATGTTTCTAACTCTCTCTCTCTCTCTCTTTCTTTCTGTAAAATATCAACTAAAATATATATATTAAAAAAAAAGAAAAAAAGATTGCAGTTGCCACACCAGGCAAGAAATCAGTTGTCACACCTGACTAAAAAGTAGTGGCTATGCCAACCCTGGCAAAAAGTCAGCAGTTATACCAGCCAAAGCATTAGCCACACCTGAAAAGAAGGGAGGCATACCAGGCAAAGCATTGGCAGCAACCCGTGGTAAGAAAGGAGCAGCCACCCCAGTCAAGGTAGCAAAGAACAGCAAGAATGCCAAGAAAGAAGATAGTGATAAGGAAGATGTTGATGACAGTGAAGAGGAGAATGCTGGGAAGGATGAGAATGAAGATGAGAATAAACTTGAGCCAGTAGTGATGAAAGCTACTGCTGCTGCTCCTGCCTCATGATAAAGATGAGGATGAAGATAAAGATGAAGATGAGGATGATGAAGAAGATGACGCTGAAGAACCTATGGAGATTGCACCAGCCACATGCAAGAAAGTTCCCATAAAAGCTATTTCAGTGAAGGTCAAGAGCACAACTGAGGATGAGGAGGAAGAAGAGGAGGATAAAGATGAGGACAATGAAGATGAGGAGGAAGATGATGATGAGGAAGAGGAGGAGGAGGAAGAGTCTGTCAGAGAAACACATGGAAAATGAAAGAAGGAAATGGCCAAACAGAAAGCTGCTCCTGAGGCCAAGAAACAGAAGCCACAGAGCCAACGATGGCTTTCAATCTCTTCGTTGGAAACTTGAACTTCAGCAAGTCTGCTCCTGAATTGAAAATGGGTATCAGTGATGTTTTTGCTAAAAATGAGCTTGCTATTGTGGATGTCAGAATTGGTCTGTCCAGGAAGTTTGGCTATGTGGATTTCAAATCTGCTGAGGACTTGGAAAAAGCCTTAGAGCTCATCGGTTTAAAAAGTCTTTGGCAATGAAATTAAATAAGAAAATCCAAAAGGAAAAGACAGTAAAAAGATGAAGATGCAAGAACACTTTTGGCAAAAATCTGCCTTATAAAGTTATTCAGCACAAATTAAAAGAAGTGTTTGAAGATGCTATGGAGATTAGGTTAGTCAGCAAGAATGGAAAGAGTAAAGGGATTGCTTATATTGAATTTAAGACAGAAGCTGATACAGAGAAAACCATGGAAGCAAAGCAGGAAACAGAAATAGATGGGCGATCTATTCATCTGTAATATACTGGAGATAAAGGTCAAAATTAAAACCATGGAGCAGCACTTGGAGTGGTGAATCAAAAACTCTGGTTTTAAGTAACCTTTCCTACAGTACAACAGAAGAAACTCTTCAGGAAGTATTTGAGAAGGCAACTTTTATCAAAGTGCCCCAGAACCAAAATGGAACATCCAAAGGATATGCACTTACAGAATTTGCTTCATTTGAAGATGCTAAAGAAACTTTAAAATTCTGTAATAAAAAAGAAACTAAGGGCAAAGCAATCAGGCTTGGATTGCAAGGACCGAGAGGATCGCCTAATGCAAGAAGCCAGATATCCAAAACTGTTTGGCAAAGATCTGAGGAGACTACGGAAGAGAGATTGAAGGAGTCATTTGATGGCTCTGTCCAGGCAAGGATAGTCACTGACCAGGAGAAGGGCTCTTCCAAAGGGTTTGATTTTGTAGATTCCAACAGTGAGGAAGATGCCAAAGCTGCCAAGGAGGCCATGGAAGATGGTGAAATTGATGGAAACAAAGTTACTTTGGACTGGGCTAAGAGTAAAGGTGGCTTCCGGGGATGTGGTGGAGGCAGAGGTGGCTTTGGAGGCAGAGGTGGTGGCAGAGGAGGCTGAGGTGAATTTGGTGGCAGAGGCCTGGGAGGCTTTGGACATCAAGGAGGCTTCCAAGGAAGCAGAGGAGGAAGAGGAGGAGGAGGAGGAGCAGGAGCAGGAGGAGGAGGAGGAAGACAAGGAGAAGGAGGAGAAGGAGGAGAAGGAGGAGGAGGAGGAAGGGGATGAGGAGGAGGAGGCCACAAGCCACAAGGAAAGAAGACGAAGTTTGAATACCGTATTTTCCGGCGTATAAGACGACTTTTGAAAAGAAAAAAAAGCCTGCTCAGATTGGCCAGAGTCAGAGAGACGGTCTATTAAAAAAAGAACTGGTGTTGCCTTGAAAGTCGGGGGTAGTCTTATACAATGAATATAGGCCTACACCTATGTTTTAGCTGTAAAATTAGGGGGCCATCTTTTATGCCGGAAAATAGGGTAGTTTCTTCTATGTCTGACTTTCCCTCTTCCATTGGAAAAAGAAAAGACTCTGGTGTCTTTACTCTGTTACCTGATCAATGACAGAGCCTTCTAAGGGCATTCCAAGACAGTATACAGTCCTAGGTCTACTTGGAAATCCATTTAGATAACATTTCAAAGGAGATACCCTGTTGGTTTTGACTGGATATTCATAAAAACTTTTTAAAGAAATGAGTGATAAAGCTAACCCTATCTGTAAGTTTTGAATTTATATCATTTCTTCCTGTGTACAAAACCCATTTTTTCCCCTACAAATTGGTTTTTTTTTGTGTGTGTGTCTGTCTTTGTGTTGGGGTATAATGAAAAGCAGAGTGTTTCATCATAATTTTGCTTCAGCAGCTATGGGACAAATTAAAAGTCCTTAACTCTGGTGCCAGAAAAAAAAATTAGAAAACAAACAAAAAGGCTCTACAAAACAAATGCAAATGAAAGGCAAATAATGAATCATTTCTAACACAGAATTGATTTTGAGAAAACAATGTAACTTGCAACCATAGTTTTCAACCTACAAAGTATAATGCTACAAATCTATCTAGATTAAAGCTACCAAAACAACAAAAAAGAAAGGGGCACATTCAATTTGTGTTGTTAATTATAAAAAAAACTAGAGCCTCAGTGCAAAAAATTTATTAATGGGGACGGGGGGGAGGGTAAGGGGCTCCTCAGCTCACCTGCACCCTCTCGCAATCCGGGACCACGGGCTTCTAACTGTTCACCTGCCTGCCTGCCTGTTTGATCACCCCTAACTACTCTATCTGCCTATATGATGCCCCTAAATGCTCCCCTGCCCGCCTCATTGCCCCTAACTGTCTCTGTCTGCTGACCTGATAGCCCCTAACTGCCCTCCTCTGTCAGCCTGATCGCCCCTAAACATCTCTGCCTCAGCCCCAGCCACCATGGCTTTTTCTAGAAGGACACCCAGATGGATGTCCAGAAGATGTCCAGTCTAATTAGTATATTACCCTTTTATTAGTATAGATGGTATCAGTTGTGGAAGCAACAATTCATGTTACAACTCTAGCATATGCCTAATTTATAAATCTTTTAACTCCTGTTGCTAGTAAACTAGTGATTTTCAATAACGAAAAGGTCAATCTTCAAAAAAGTATCCCTTCCAGGGCACATCCCCGGTAGGGGGTGTGCAAGAGACAATTGGTTGATGTTTCTCTCTCATCGACATTTCTAGCTCTTTATCTCTCTCCCTTCCTCTCTGTAAAAAATCAATAAAATACATTTTTTTTAAAGTATCCCTTCCAAACAATATTGAGGAAAACAGGATGCTATAAATTCCCCAAAGAACAAACTAGTTCAGGTCCTGGCCAGTTTTGTTTCAGGATTAAACAAATTTGTGGAAGAATGCTATTGAATTCATTAGTTTCATATCAAACTAAATGTTGTCTTGAATGCCTTTACTGTATGACATGGTATACATTTGCTTATAGTATTCAAAAGGCATAAATCTTCCATCTGGATTATATTGAAGGTGTGAAAGTTTATAGTTGAAAGACATGTACTTGGCAAAAACTTGAAATTACAGGAAGCTTTTTGAGTAAGTGAAAGGTGAGAAATTACTACAGTCAGAAGATCTGAATATCTGATTTCTTCATTTTGAATTTTATAGTTTTCTTTACAACACTCAGAACTTAAATGCATATAAAATCACTATAATTTTATATTTACTTTTCAAAAAATCTTTTGAAACATTTTGCTCATTTATATATAAGACTATTTCTTTATAAAAGTGCTGCAAAATATACAGAAAATTGGTATTTTACAACTTTTAGCAGATTGAGAATCAAACCAAAAAGAAGTGGAAGAAAAAAGATCATAAGAAAAAGCAAACTTTAACAGGAATGTATGACCAAAAAGCTAGATTTCCTTAGCTTTCAGGACTTTACATCAGAATGGCTAAGTTAACACCACCCTTAATGTCAGAACTGAAGGGTCCATCTGAAGATAAGCTTTTCTGAGGTCCTGGCACTCATTCAAAAGTAGGGTACAGATTGCTGCACACACAATTTGGTCAGTCATTCCAGGCTTCACACCTTTGTGAGTGTGAGCTCATCCACTTCTGAATGAATGGTTCCCACTCTTTATCTACAGGCCTCATGGCTCCTTCTGCCTGTTTTTGTAACTCCCTAGTGTACATGTCTAAAGACACCCACACACATGCAGAGAAATGAACTAGGTGTTTATAAGATTCTAATCTATTCTCTACCAGTGTTTCTCAAACTTTTGACATATGTGTACCCCTTCTATAATTTTCGTAACGCTGAGTACACCTCGTACTCATGAGAACGTAGAAGTAGGCGCAGCTAAGCACGGTGCAGTGCATATCCCCACCAAACTCTAGTGCGACTCGTACCCCCACCAAGCTCTTCCCGTACCCCTGGGGGTACGCATACCACACTTTGGGAAACACTGCATACCAATTCCTGTGCAGGTAAATAAGTGAGTATCTTGGAAACAATCCTCAATTCTTTTCTTTTTCCAAGCCACCTAATATAAACCCTCCTTCTATAATAAATACCTTTTGGGAGATCATTTTAGCTCCCACATATCTTTCACTTTTATCCCACCCTATTTAAAATTATCAACATGACATTAGTTTAAGAACTTATGTTTTACCTTATTCTCCAGCAATAGCCTATAAATTGGTTTTTCTGACTTCAGGTCTATCTATATAACCACAGCAGCCTCAGTGTTGTGCAATTTTAAGAACAAATTTTGATTATGTGATTTATTTTTTAAATCCCTGCACTGTGTCCCAGTAACCACAAGATTAAAGACAAGTGCAATGAGCCCTGGCTGGTGTGGCTCAGTTGGTTGAGTGTCATCCCCTGAACCAAAATATCTTAGGTTTGAGTCCGGTTCAGGACACATTCACAGGTTGTGGTTTGATCCCTGTTCAGGGTGTATACTAGAAGCAACCAATACATGTTTCTCTCTCTCTCTCTCTCTCTCTCTCTCTCTCTCTCTCTCTCTCTCTCTCTCTCTCTCTCTCTCTCTCTCTCTCTTCTCTCTTTAAAATCAATAAAAACAGCCGAAGCCGGTTTGGCTCAGTGGTAGAGCGTCGGTCTGTGGACTGAAAGGTCCCAGGTTCGATTCCGGTCAAGGGCATGTACCTTGGTTGCAGGCACATCCCCAGTAGGGGGTGTGCAAGAGGCAGCTGGTCAATGTTTCTCTCTCATTGATGTTTCTAACTCTTTGTCACACTCTCTTCCTCTCTGTAAAAAATCAATAAAATATATTGGGGGGGGAAATAAAAACAAATGCAATGATAAATAACTTAAAGTCCTTATATGACTACTTATAAACATGTATATAATATTAAAAACTGTTTGAACGTAATCATAACATTGTCTAATTTGTGCATATAACACACAAAAAATAGCATAAACAACATAGTTGACAATAGTTTGGAATCTGAGAAAAATAATTAAAATTAAAACTAAAATCCTTTTATTGTTTTGAAATTGGGTAGAGTCATTAATTCACTTGATATTACATTAATCTAATTTATTATGTGTATACATAATAATATCAAGGGATCTACTAAAATTAGAAATTATTTGTAAAAATTTCTAACCAAAGAAAGAAAAATATAGTCACACCTGATAGAACAAAGTTCTCTAAAAAATTAAGATATGGGGAAGTTTTAAAAATAAAGGGTAGAAAAATATCTACCAGGTATACATTAAACAAGTGTTAGCTGATGCAGCTGTATTAATAACAGATAAAATTAGAATTTGGAGTGAAATTGTAGTAGAAATCAAGTGGGTCTATATAATGATAAAATCCTTTACTAAGTAAAATTATAAATTATTTAAACTTATAAACTTTCAATATAATTACCTGAAAATATACTTTACAAGAATTGAAAGAATTACAAAGAGTACTGTCTGCCATCTCAGTAATGTCTACATCACAGAGGGAAACTGTCATTTACCTCTCTCTCTAAGATATAACAGGTAAACCGTTAAAAAAAAAATACTATGAATTAAAACAGCACAGCTGTATTAGTCAAAGTCCAATCAAGAGCCAAAATTACATGGCAATTTTGAACAAAGACATTTTAGTATTATTAATTTTTAATATAATTGAAAGTGGCTTTGGGTAAAATAAAAATAATAATAAAATATATAAGAGCACTTTCTATTTCTAGAGCTGAGATGGAATACCTAAAAAAGAAAATATTCTGAAACCACATCCCTATCACCCCACCCCAAGATCCAGATCTTTCCATGACTCTATCAATGTAGTTTAACACCATGAAATTTTGTAGGAGCCACAGGGGAGCTCCACAGGGTGGATGTGGAATGAAGAAGCAATTTTATATGAAAACAATCAATCATCCTGATCTAGATAACCACATGTAGAAAACTGCTCCCAAGGGGTCACACTTAGTTTTGTCTCTCACAGGGATTATTTGTTAAAATATAATAAGAAAAGTTTGTGGATTTGAAAACTAGAAAAAATATTTTATAATGTTCATGAGTCAAAGAGAAAAGTATAAATAACTTTTAAAATATTTAGATAAATAATAATACAATAAAATTTTAAAATAATATTTGGAATGAACCGGTAATGGAAATATTGTAGATCAAAAATTTATAATGCAGATTAAAAAGCTCTTAGAGAGATTGGTAGTTTACTTTTTAGAAGAACAAAACCTCAAAATTAATGAGCTATTCATTTACATTATAAAAATAAGAAAATGGTTATAGAAATAAATCTATAAGAAAGTAGAAAAGATAGAAAATAAAAGTAAAGGCAGAAATAAATGAAAAGTTAAAATATTAAGTAGTGAATGAAATAGAAAACATTGTAAGCTTCAATAAAGCCAAATGTTGGTTCTTTAAAATATAAATCCCTGACACACTAATAATAAATATATTTAAAAGATGGAGAAAGAGAAATAAGTAATGTTAGTAATGTTATTAAATAAATAATGACACTGGAGGACAAGGAATATTGAAAGAGAAAAAGAGGAAGAGGAGGAGACTGAGAGCTGAAGGGTAAAGGGGAGAGGAGAAAGAAAAATAGAGAAAAACTACAATTATTTGGTGGAATTTGCTTTTCCAAACATCAAGACTTAAGTAGAAAATGAAAGCATATATATATATATATATATATATATATATATATGAAAAAAAATTGATTTGATGGCATACATTGCAAATTGGCAGGGAGAATGCTAGATTAACTATATATATTATATATATATATATATATATATATATATATATATATATATATATATAAAAGCCTAAGCAACTGGTCAACCAGTTGATAGGCGACAGATACAGTGGGGCCTGGATAAGTGGGATGCCTGGTCTGGGCTTGGGCTCCTCCCCAGGCCATCTGCTGCTTTGTGCACTACTACATCCCTCAGGGAATATTGGACTGCAGGTTTCAGCCAATCCCAGCAAGCCATGCAGAGAAACCTGAGCCTCTAGTTATTACAAATTAAAGAGATAATTATTCATCTGTATGGAAAATATTAAATTTAATTAATTTCTGACATAATAAAAATTTGAAACCCAAGGGAATTAAATATATAAGTATGAAAAGTGTAATTATGATTTTGAAGTATGGATGATCTTTTAAATGCTATTTGCAAAACACATTAAAATGAAATGGTTTTCATTTTAATAAAAAGGGGACCATGAAAAGATGTAAAAGACAAACTATTAATTAGTGTTTGGGGGTTGTTGGTTGGGTTGCAACCCTCTCCCCAAAAAAACTTGATAATAATTTAAAGTAAATCTATGAGGGATAACTTCTGGAACTGTACAATAAAAAACTCAGTAAGAACCTCTCTCCCCAGTGAAATAACCATAACTAGTTATAATTATTTTTTAATTAATTAATGTTTCTGGAAATTGTCCTAAGGCCATAGAACAAATGTTTGAAAATATTCCAGACAATCTGTTAAATTGAGAAGAGCGTGATTCTCTGGCACTGGAGCAAGACTCCACTCAGCACCCCAAGTTGAGCCTGATCAGTTTTGGCAAAAAAAAAACATGTGAGCTGCTCTCCCTCCAGCTCTCAGTCCAAAGTTATAGTCTTGCTCCAGGAGTGGTACTCAACCAGCATTTCTTATCCCCTGAACTCCATGTTGCAGAGATCATATTCCAGATGAATGTAGCTCCCTCCCTCCATCCAGCCCTACCCACATGCAGCAAGCCAAGAACACTGGAGCCTCATCACCTTCATTCCAGCACCCTGGTAGGTTCAGAGTTCCACATCAGAAGAGGAAAGACAAGAATACCGCAGGCTACTAACCCCCATCCATGGGAAATAATGAAATAAAATAAATTCCAACCCTATTTTCATACCATATAAAAAAATAAGATGAAATAGGTGATAGACTTACACATCACTGCAGTAGCTTAAAATAAAGAATGAAATCATTGTGACCTTGAGGAGGGTAAAGATTTTTCAGATAGAATACCCAAAACAGAAAGGAAATTTAGTAATTGGATTTTTAAAAAATGTTTAAATTCGCTCTTCAGAAGACAATGTTAACACAATGAAAAGATAAGTACATACTGGAAAAAAAATTTCAATTCACATGTTTAACAAAGCATGCAGTTAAATAAATCACTATATCTAAGTTATTCCATTTAATTAAAAGATTTGAATGGACATGAAATAAGATATAAATGGACAATAAGCACGTGAAAATGCTGGTTATTAGTTAACATACAAATATAAGTTAAAACCACAATGAGATAACTTTCCATGTCCATTAGGTTGCCTAGAATTGTGACTTGTTTAAGAATTATGTGTTCATTTTATTATTCTTTTGACATTTCTGTTTTATATTTTTCAAAATTAAAAATATTTCAAATACATAGATAAACTATGTACATAAATTAAGTTGATACAATCATATTGTTAACACCATATTGAACAATATAAATTAAGAAGTGAAATATTTAAAGCAACTTTAATATTAACCTAATTACATTATTGCTATATTAATTTATCATATGGAATTGATATAATCTATTATTGCAGGTTGTGCTGGTTGCAAAATATATCCCAAAGCTCAAAAATAAATTATTGAAAAACAAATAATGCAGTAAAGTTTTATTCATTATTTATGAAGATTTACCTCATGTACATACAAAATTAAAGCAAAAATACAAGTTTGAGGATACTTTTAAAAAATTATTTGCTAATCTAAAATAGCTACAAAAATATCTGAATAAATATATGAAACTTTATTATTAGTTGTCTAATGAGAAATAATAATATGAAAATGTCTTAGATTTTGTAAAGATTGCTGTGTATTGTTAACGGGAAACTCTGAAATTTAAGACAATTTTTAAAATCTCATTTTAGCCAAAACTGGTTTGGCTCAGTGGATAGAGCATCAGCCTGTAGACTGAAAGGTCCCAGGTTCAATTCTGGTCAAGGACATGTACCTTGGTTATGGGCACATCCCCAGTAGGGGGTATGCAAGAGGCAGCTGATCTATGTTTCTAACTCTCTATCCCTCTGTCTTCCTCTCTGTGAAAAATCAGTAAAATATATATATATTTTTAAATCTCATTTTACTTTGTCACCTTCTTACTTACTATATGTAACTCTCTCCCAAGAAGGCAGAAAGAGGTTTAAAAAAAAAGTCTTCAAAATATCTGAAAATCTTCCTGAAGAGCTTTATATTTTCTCTTAAAGTTTAAGAGATGTTTAAGACTTAAACATCAAATAATCAATCACAGAGAAAGAATGAAATATCTGACAAATTGGAATTGAAGTAATACAATTTGAAGGAGCTTATAATTTTATAGGCATCATATACACATATTTTTCTTAGAAATTATGAAATGGTAATAAATACCTAGAAAAAATTATAGTTTCACTTCAATAAATTACCACTAATGTAGATTTTAATATTTTTGGCTTTATTAGAAAGACATATTTCAGTTCTTAAAGCTGACAGATAATCCAACTGCTAAGAGTGAAGATATAAAACTAAAGGAAATTTTTGCAAAAGAAATAATGATTGCACTTAAAAAACAAAAAAAGTGAACTCATAATTTGATTAAGCAGTGGGCAAATATG